CAAAAAACCAAGAAAAAAGAAAAGAAACCAAAACTTTGATCAAGCTGCACATGGACCAAATTTGTAATTTACTTCATATTTTTCTATCCATTTAAAGTTGTGTTTTTTTGAAAAAAAAAATTAAAATATTGTAGCTAATAATATCAGAAAAATATTTTATTAATATTATATACAAGTATTTTTTTTTAATTTAAATACAACACCCATAAAAAAGTGTTTACCAACGACTCACAATTAATTTACTCCATATTTTGTTTGGCAGTGGTAATTCTCAAAAGACAACTTCAAAAATGGTCCATGTGGTTTCTGAAAAATCTGAAGTTTAGTCCCTAAATTTTAAAAACCTCAAAGATGGTCCCTGTGGTTTCAAAACTTTTAACAAATGGTCATTTTCGCTAACTCTGTTAGCTTTTGGCCGTTAAGTAAAGGGCATTTCTGTCATTTCACAAAAGTGAGACCATTAATGAATTTTTTTTTTTATTAAAAAAATAAAAAAATAAAAATATTTAATAAAGGGTCCCACCCACCCACCCTCTCTCTGTCTCTCTCTCTCTCTCTCTCTCTCTCTATATATATATATATATATATATATATATATATATATATATATATATATATATATATATATATATATATATATATCTCCCCCCCCCCCCCCTTACTTCTTGAAAACGCTGATTACCATGATTCCGGCAACACCATTTCCTCGAGATGATGGCTGCGAGGACCTACAACTCGGATCATCAGATGCAATCTCCGGATAAAGCTTCGTTTCATCAGTTATCTTCGTAAGCATTTCGTTATCCTCCATATATTTGACTGTCAAGTTTCTTCCTGTTCGTTAGAGTCTTTTAATTCACAAAGATATCATATTCAACAAATCATCATCTGAAACATCAATTATCAGATGATATCAAGATCACAATTCTCGGATTAAAACCACCAAAATCTTCATCGTTTTTATAGAATTACTATACCCTCGAAATCCTATATATAACAGTGGATAAGTTCCAAGCAATTCGAACAGGAGATTCATGGAAACAATGACGATCCAAGAATTCTTTAAGCGAGCAGTAATGAAATCGCCTAGGCTTCATCTTCTCCAAAAATTATCTACTCCACCTCTGCCTCCTTTGTTTTCTCTGAAATGGTTGTTGAATGAAATTGGAATTGAATCCGGATGGAATCAAAAGGGTTGTGTAAGAATCGATTTGCACATAAGAACAGAAAATCGATTCCTCTTCGCCCCTACCCCCATCTTCGTCGGAAAAAACCCAATTTATCTACCGGCGAGAAACATTCACCACGGTCACCTTTAAACCCTTACAGCTCGCATCGTCAATCCCCTACCTTCCAGTAACGCCACTACTTAATTCACACACAAATACTTCAATACACAACCCCCTCATCTTCTTCCCAATTCCCACAAATTCAATCTCATTAAAATCCTACCCCGACGGAACAAATCGATGCAGTGGATATAAGAGGGGGTTTTCCCCTTTGGCTGAGTAGGTGAAAGGAAGTAAAGGATATTGAAGGTTTAGGAGGCGGTAGAGGTGCATATGTGAGAAAGGGGAGGCGATATAGGAGGTGGGAGGCGGTGGAAATTGTGGGGTTTTATGGAGAGAGAGAGAGAGAGAGAGAGAGAGAGAGACCCTTTATTAAATAATTTTATTTTTTTATTTTTTTTAAATAACAAAAAACTTCATAAATGGTCCCTCTTATATAGAGATAGGTTCAGGTGTTTAAGTAAGTATTGTGTTATTGTGTGCATCAATGTGGGCCAATCAAAATTAAATAATTAAATAAATAAATAAGGGTAATATAGTAATGTGTTTAGTAACTTCCAAAAATAATCCCTATAATCATGGTATTGATTTATAACCTAAATAAATTAGGGTGTCTTTGATGTTTCAACAAGTGGATCCACTTAAAAGATTAGGGCTTTTAAACCCGTGTTCCTTTTGATCGGGCAAAGATGGATTCCGCCTACATCGTGAATCCTCCAAAGTCCAAACGATTCCGTCTCCGGCCAAACGTAGGCGTCTCCGGCCACACCAGAAGACTGTCAATCGGTGCTGGTCACTTCCGCTGCTGACCACTGGCGCTTCCTCCACGCTGCTTACCTCCGGCCACACGAGACGACCCTCAGTCGACTGCTCACCTCCGGCTATCCCGCCGGCATCCACTGCTCGATCTCCGCTGTTCATCTACGTTGAAGCGTTTATCATCCTTGAAGCCATTTGTCAACAATCCAGAGTGGTTATCGACAGAATGGTAAGCATTAGTTTCAATCCTTATTTTTTTTGTCTATAGATTTCCATCACGTTGATTTGCACATTCTTCACTGATTTGTTTCAGTGGGATTGAATAGCAACAGATTATCGTTTGTAAAAACTTAAGTTGGTGAAGTGGAAATCGTTTGTTTAATTAAAATTTCTCCATCACATTTCAATCCGACTTAATTTATGTTTAGCACATAAACTGTTTGATGAAATGACTTAGGGCGATCTTCTTTAGAATTTCAAAATAGAAACTTATTATATTAAGTTTTCACAAAATTTTGAAGATATATTAATCTTATTTGTTCCTTGTTATACCAGGGTTAAATTTTGACTTGATGCCTTCTTTCTGTTATGTGATGCCAATGGGTGAGAGTTTGCAAACGATTACATTTGAGTTGAAAATTAGATATTGACATATTGTCTAAAACACTTGGTCTTAATGAAAGAAAATACTAATTTGAGCTAATATGCTTCGAACTAGACATGTTTTTTCACTTCAAAATAGAAACAAAAACTAATTTGAGTAATAAGATCTCACATATTTCCTATTTACAATATTGGTATTCACTTCTCCTTTTTGCTATCAATGATCAACAATTGAGTAAACTACTTTCTAGTAATCCCTTAGTGGTTTGTGTATTTTATACAATTCCAATTCTATCGGAATGGAATCACGTATTCAAATTCTATCGGAATGGAATCACGAATTCAAATTCTATCGGAATGGAAACACGAATTCTAATTTTGTTGGAATGGAGTATGGATATTTTCTCATTGATTATACATGTTCTACAATTTTTGGTTATTGGTTTTGGTGCAGTTAACAAGTCCGCATATTTTTCCAAAGGAATATAGTTTTTTATTTATCATTTGCTAATGCATTATTGGATTCTAAACTACAATTGGATTTGTTTTCACAGAAGTTGATGCTTGAAGAACGGACAACAAAATTGAAAGTGTTTCTTAACAACATTATTCTTTTAGAATGAATTAGTGTATTTGTTAGATTTTTGATGTTTTTTTTTCGATTTGAAAGTTTTTTAGTTTTATTCTTTTACAATAAATGTAATTCTTAGCAATTGTTACATGTATTCTATAAGAATTAATGTAATTTTTTGTTTTAATTCTTCAATTGATGGTTCAGGAATTTTGTTATTCTACAAGAAATTTTTAAAGTCATGATCAAGAAATATGTTCAAGAATATTTTTATTATTTTATGGTTCAAGAATATTTTTATTTTTGAACATACTCAAACATATTCTGCCAGAATGTCCGAATTAAAAACCTTATAATTCGTAAAATCGGATTATTAAAATTAATAGAATCTATGATCCCTTAAAATATGCAAATTTCCTTTATTAAATCTATATTAACTGACTAAATTACCCTTGTAATTAATTAAGATGATATTTTTTTAATTATATTTAATTCAATAATATATATTAATCACTTTCTTAAAATAAGTAAATTTGATTGGCCCACATTTATGCATACAATAACACAATAATTACTTTTAATAGAATAACCTAAGCCTATATATATATATATATATATATATATATATATATATATATATATATATATATATATATATATATATATATATATATATATATGTGTGTGTGTGTGTGTGTGTGTGTGTGTGTGTGTGTGTGTGTGTTGCAGATTTAGAAAAAGAATAGTTTTGCTTCGCCCGTTAAACTTGAAGATATGGTCTCAAAAATACCACCTCGTTTAATTAACATGGTGAACGATAGTCGGAAAAGAACTTTGTAAGAATTATAATGTTTTGTGTTTTATTATAACTAAAATGTAAATTAGAAATTGTTGATTTTTTGTATAATGAAGTTTTGTTTAATAGTATGTTTTTGTTTATTGATGATTTGTTAAATGATATATAGTGCGGTTTAGTTTTGATGCTGTATTTTATTAGTATGGTTTTATATTTTTTGGTGCTATTATTTAATAGGGCGGTTTTATACATATCTTGGTGCTATTATTTAATAGGGTTGTTTTTAATTTTTTGGTGCTATTATTTAATAGTACGGTTTTTTATTTTTTGGTTCTATTATTTAATAGGACGGTTTTATATGTTTTGGTGCTATTATTTAATAGGACGGTTTTATATGTTTTGGTACTATTATTTAATATGACGGTTTTTTATTTTTTGGTGTTATTATTTAATAGAGCAGTTCTTGATTTTTTGGTGTGATTTGTGATTTTAATGTTGATATTTTATAAGGCGGTTTACCCCGTTTTCTAATGCGGTTTACAAACCGCATCAACAAATATGTTTATTTTTTTATGCTATATTTTTTGGTGCGGCTAGAAAACCACATCAACAAATTATATTAACCGCCTTATCAAATCTCTTCTGTACTAGTGGCATGAAATCCAAAGTTCAATTTTTGTCCTATTCAATCTAGTTAATATACGTGGGCCTTTTGTTGGGCTGTAACACAAAACAGAAAAATGCTTCCATTAGCCAATGCTTTAAACCAAATCATATATAGCATAATATTTTTAATTTTTTTTATTCATATTAATACATAGTACTTTGAAAAATATACTCGCAAAAATTGATTTGTATTTGGATATTTGACATTGCTATAACTAGGTGATCAGATTATTCCAAGCAGAATGTTGTAATAGTAAGTTAAGCAAGTAAGATCCTATAAAAATAAAAAATTACATTGCTATTTCTTACATTTAAACCTTTTTCATTTCGACTGAGTTGATGGGAGCAAAATTTTGTCAACACAGAAATTAAAAATTAAACACATAGGGTACATGAATACTTGATAAGGAGTGATTTCCTAAGGTCCAGGTTTAATTTCCACCTTGAGAATTGAGTTGACATTCACCTGAGATTGTAGTGAAAAGCATTAAGATTTGGCTGATGACAAACACCAACTTGAAGACTTATACTAGTTTGTAAACTAAAGATATAACAAATCTACATTAAGAAATGGAAATAAATACACATACGTGATATATAACTGAGAATCTAATATGGGGGGGCTGATGCTATTGGTGGGCCTTTCTCTCATAGGAACAAAGGGTCTTGAAGCAGTTTGATTAGCTGTTGGAGGTTGACTGAATCCCATCTAAAAAATTTAGATACATGTAATTCGAGAAGAGAAACCACAAAAATGAAACAAATTTCATATACATGCTATTTAGTTTGGTTTGTATTGCAAAAAATACACATTACTGCATTGATTTGTTTAGTACAACATTCTACTTTCATTTCTTCCAGCAACATTGTACTTTGAAAAATTAACCCATTTATACCAATGTCATCCAACTTACAAAGCACATTTCATTGCTATAATTGGTACAATACTGTAAAGACTATATATAAAGGCATGAACCCGGATCAATGTTAGGGCCAAAGCTAATAAGTACAATATCTACATTCTAACAAATACATTGCATAGCAATGACATCCAAAATGAATGTGAAGTTTTCATGAATGAAGCATGTCAAAAAAGCTATATAAACCATTACACCTTTTTCCCCATCTTAGCTGCAACTTCGAGAAGTAAAATGAAAGAAATAGCAACGTACTCACTAATTTGTTTATCATAGAATCCTATTTTCATTTCTTTGTATTATAGCATTGTAATTTGAAAAATAACCAAATTATAGCAATGCTATCCAAATACAAAGCAATTCTCAGTGTTATGAAAGGATAGAATTTTCAAAGTATGATGTTATAAGAAAGAGATTGAAAATACAATGATATAATTTGGTAAATTTTCTAAAGTACATTGTCTTAGTAAGAAAAAGTAAGACAAACTAATGCACCATGCTATTTCTTGCATTCAGTGGTTACATATATGGTAAGTGAAATTATAATGTTCTTCCTTAAAGTGAATAGTTAATGTAGGTGCGAAAAAATAAAAAATCCGTAGTTAGTACTCACCAAAAGGACCACATAAGATGACAGGTTCAGGGGACAAATACATGGTGCCCTAACTCCTCTATATTATATCCTTAACACATACGGTGTGTAGTTAGTACTCACCAAAAGTAAAAGGTTTTAATATTCAATTGGCTAAGGGCTACATGCAAGAAATAGCACCATACTTTCATTAATTATTTGTGTATTTTGCAATAATCTACTATCATTTAGTTCTATTACAGCATTGTATTTTCAATCTTTTTCTTATTAAAGCATTATAACATGCAGAATTTACAATATGTTGGGTATATTAAAAGACATCCTTTTGTTTATTTATTTATTTTTCATCAAGAATGTTGACTACTATACCAACATAAAGGTCAACTTTCTTCTCCAGTTATTTTGATTAGCTCTCAAATCCCAATTTTTCCTTGTATGTTTTAAAGCTTCATCAAAATTTAAAGCATGTCGAGCATATGCTAAGTTTTGAACCAACATTTAAGGGGGCATTCCTATGTTGTTTTGCATGATAACTTATACAAGAGGTACAAATATAACTTGCTCTTTCTTTCTAAGGAAATAAATATATATTAGTAAATTTTGAGAATAAGATTAGTTTATTAACCCAAAAAAAAGTGTCATGTGATCAACTGTGTTGTGCAATACAGTTTCCTTTTTTGTGGAGCCACGGAGGAGAAGGAGATAAATACATACAAACAATATACTTTTGAACATGAATGTTTGGAAGATTCAACTCTTTGGGACAACAAAACAGTAAAACAAAAAATCACCTTCACTGCCATTAGAAAACATAAAAACGAACCTAAAATAAGCTTATGACTGTTGTTTTTTGGGATATACAAATACCTTAGGTGCCATCCTCCAGTACGCCAGGCTTCCGTTGGGAGAGAGCTCTGAAGTGTAGTTGTCTTTGGTCGTCTAATGAAAAGAGATAGATTAAAGATGTGAGATTGATTGACAAAAATTCAAATATGAATTACGAATCATCAAAGCTTTATCATTTTAGTTATTATCAGCTCTACATAAGAAGTAATACATAAGAAAGATATCTAGTTATCTACCTTTAAAGTGGACACCATCTCCAAACAAAGACCCGTATGAATGTTCACGTATTTGATTTTCAAACAGCAGAAATCGCCATATTGTTAAGATGTACTCTCCTGTTGTTAACTGAAATATGGTCAAATCTCCACCAATAATGTGATTCCAGGACCTGTAATAACCCAATGCATCTTCTTCTTCATCTATGTCTCCATCATCATAAACAAAACTCACCCCACACTCAACATGAAATGGTTCTGGTCTCATGGTAATAGTAATTTGATCACCACATTCCATATCATTCACCCCAAACATCCAATGGCTTAACAAGGTCAAACACTTTCCAACAACATCGACATGGAGAATGTAATGTTGGTATTTCCAGGTGTGGTTCTTTGTAATATTACTAATTATGATCACCGGCAAATTAAAAGTTTTATAATCCAGATATTGAGATGTCAGCACATAGCAGAAATTCAATCCTCTAAGCTTGTTCGGAGATGATGGGATGGTAAATGACATTGATGACCCCGTGCTTCTATCTGAAATCCAATTTGGCATTTTTTCGCCTTCATAAATTGTGCTGAATATTCCAAATTCATAATACATCTGCCAAATACAACCAACTTCATTAATTAAATATACATAGATATTAACACATAGACAGATAGTTAACTAGACCAAACCTGGATTTCAGATTTCTCTCTTTGATTCACAAGATAGGTTCCCACACGCCTTCCAATAAGGAAATCTAGCTTCGTCCAACCCAAACTACGTATTACCTTTTCCTCAACACCTTCCATTGGTTGGATTTTGACCAAGCCTTGAAATTCAAACGACGAAGTTGCTAACATGTTCCAGTCTAATATGAACCCTAGTGGAGACATTTGTGGATCAAATACCACTTTTCGTAGCAAATGCTTTTCAGAATCAAAATGGAGATCCAAAACTCTTAGTGTATGTGGAGGATCCTCAACTGACATCAACATATTACAATTTCTCATACTCAGTATCCCAAGCCTAGGAAGGCTCCTAACACAATTAGGCAGGGAAACGATAGGATTTCCATCTAAATGTAATTCATTTAACATGGATAGCCAACCGAAGTCCATGGGAAAGGATTCGGTAGATAAATTATTATTTGCTAGTGACAACTTTACTAAAGATCTCGGTAAAGGAATCGTTAAGAACTTAAAATCAGCTGATATAGCCTTCAGAACAGCGGAGGAAGACGTTCTTGTTTTTATGCCAATGTTGTTAGCCATGATCTTTTCGGTTGAATCCATATCCCTAATCTTGATTGGAGATTCACCGAGATAACAGCCGTTTAACAATAATGTTTCAACTTTTCTTAACTTGCATATAATTCTTGAAAGTTTTTCAAACTTGATGCAGCTCAGATCAATGAAGAAAAGTTCAACACATTTCTTAATTGACTCACAAACCTCAATCAAACCAATGCAACCTCTAAGTATCAACCTCTCAAGTTTAGGGAGGTGGTCAAAGCCACCAAGACTATGAAGTTGTTCACAGAAACTTAAATTAAGAATCTTCAATGATCGAAGCGACCTTTTTTCTTCTGAGCATGATCCAGTCAATTGCTGAGACTAAGATGAGTTAGAATGGTAGTGAATTTTATCAACTCACATAGAAGAGTAATAAATGGAGAAATTTACCTTTAGCTTCTTAGGAAGTCCTTTTGGATAGTTATAGCAAATCCCAAATGATTCAATATTGCTATAAGACAGGTCAAGAGCAACCAAATTCTCCATCGGTAAGTCAGAAGGTATAGACTTTAAAGGGAACCCATGCATACACAACCATCTTAATTCTTCTGGAAATTTGTTGTAAGATCCGGTGATTTGCACATAATTGAGTTGTAGCAACATTAGCCTATCCATTTTACTCAATGCATCTGTTTTTAACTCAAGCGATCCATGTAATTTCTCTTTCTCAAGCATTCGCATGTCAATGATGAGGCCTAGCACATTTTCTGTACCCTAAAAAGAAAGGGGATGCAAAAACATTTTAAAATAGGAAATGCTTTAAGCAAGAACACATGTATATAAAAATAGGAAATGCCACGACATCTTACCTTTTTTTGCTTCAATGCTTTGAAAGATTCATGGCCCCATAATCGACTTCGTTCCCATGGCTTGTCAAGTGATTCTTTACGTACCACAAATTTTCCCATCTCTTGAACCAACTGGTGCATCGCCAATTCGATATTCTTCGATTCTTTATTCCATTTGAAACTAAGAAGGCATCTGTCAATAAGATTCGTGATCCCAGATCTTGTCTCTATGTCACATGCCTCTAATATTGTTACAGTAAAATCTTTATCCATTCCAACAAAAATACAAGCAATATGCTTAAACAACTCCTTATCATTTTCTGATGGCAAAGAGTCGAAGCTCATTCTCAAGACATTATTTATAGGGGAATTATTCTCTTTCTTTAGTCTATCTATGTACCCCTCCCAATAAGTTACATCACGATTATGTAGAGACCTAGCCAAAACTTTAAGCGCCATTGGATGTCCTTCACAATACTTCACTAGCTTTTTTGACACCTCTTCATAACCTGCCTTGGGATCGTTGCACATAAATGCATGAAAACACAAAATGTTTTGTGAATCAATCTCAGATAAGCCCTTAATCTCGTGTGTTTCATGTTTGGGTTTCACATTTGTTTTGAATAGTGCACAACTCTTGGTCAACCATGTATCTTTTGTTGTTATTATTATTTTGCTTCCCGGATGAAAACCTTTTCTTCCAAGTAACGCGTCTAATTGGTCAAGACTACCAATATCATCAAGAACCAGAAACACCTTTTTATAGGCTACTACATTCTCTATCATTGAGGTGTATATAGAATCGTCATGAGCATGAGCTTGAACTGAACTTCGTTTTGAAATGTCATCATAGAGTTGCTTTTGTACATCAAGCATCCCATTGGATTTTTTATCACATCTCCTGGTGATATCCTCAATGAAACTGCTTGTGTCAAATTCAAGAAAATGTAATGCATAGACATATTTGGCTAAAGACGTCTTCCCGATCCCACCCATGCCCAAAATAGTTAGTATATCTGTTGTATTTGATGATACATCTTTCAACCATGAAGTGACGAATTTAATGGAATTCTCCATCCCAATAAGTTGGGGTGGTGGAAACCTTGAAGATATGTGTAATCTACGGAAAATGTCGTTAAGAATTTCATCAATAAGCTCCACCTCTAGCCTGGAATTTGATTTTTGTAAGAACCAAAAAACACAATCCAAAAAACTAACATGCTATATTGGAGATTTAATTTTTGCAAAAGATCCAAATAAAAATTATATCATATTAAGCTATTCTTTAATAAAGTTTTTCACATCATAGATATTATCGTGTCCGCACTTCTAACCGTAGTAAGACCAAAGCCACCAATGTAATACAAGATTTAATTAACGGGCCACCAATTTTCATTGTGTTTCTATGAAACAACAAACTTAAATATCAACGTGGTATTGCATAATCAGAACAAAATGTAAGTTAACCTTTGTTACTTACAAGAATATCTATTTATCATAATAATAACAGATGATATGAATTGAAGGTACGGTGATATAAATATTAGTAAAAGAAACTACAACCATTAAAAATTTGGTTTATTAATTAAAACCATTACAACCGATTATTTAAAAGGAAGTCTCCTATAAAGTACCTACATTTTGAACTCATATTCAGTTAAGTCCCTATATTATTATTATTTTTTTCTGATTAAGTCCCGAATACCAGTTAAATTATTCAATGGTGGACAATATTTCAGATTAGCGGGTTTCACGCTTAGAAATCTCCTACAAAATCTCTACATTTGACTTCATATTCAATTAAGTCCCTACATTTTGACCTCATATTCAATTAAGTCCCTACACACGACACCCACATATGCTGTTAACCGGTTGGAATACCGACTAACTTGCAACTTGTCCACAATTTAATAATTTAACCAGTATTCGGGACTTATTCAAACAAAAAAAATATAGGGACTTAATTGAATATGAGATGAAAATGTAAGGACTTTATAGGAGATTTTCCTTATCTAAATTAATTTATTCATGATAAAATAATAAATGCATAACAAATGTGTTAAAAATTAGCAAATGGCTAACCTACCTATATGAACTAATTTATTAAATCACATAATTGCATAAATTAGATTCAACTTCAACCCTTTCTTTAAGATTTATCCAAATTTAAATACGTTAAAAAATATTTCTATTTGATGATAATGAAGAAACGACATAAAATGCATAAAAATATGATATTGACTTTTCATGTGTTACCTGCCATTTGCATCCTTCCCTTTTAAATCGGCAACCTCATTAAGTGCTTTATCCCACAACTCTATCTTTTGAGCCCATTTACTTCTTCTATTTGCATCTGTCTCTGCTTCCATCATCCGTCTATGCTTAGTCATTGCATCTCCAAAGCCACTTTGTTGCTTCCTAACATCGGTGGGCTCAACATGATAAAAAATCGGGAAAATAATATGGTTTGATGTCATATGTTGCTCAAGGATCAGCACCAATTCATCAAGGCACCACCTTGAAGAGGCATAATTCTTGGACAACACAATAACAGAAGCCCTAGATGATTTAATAGCACTCTTCAATTCTGGTTTCAGATCTTCCCCTGTTTCAATCTCTTCATTATCCAAGAAGGTAGTTATATTGGCATGCATGAGGGCGTTATAAAGGTGATTAGTGAAACTATGACGAGTGTCAACACCTCTGAAACTTAAAAATACGTCATATCTATGACCTTTATGAGTTGATGAATAAGATGAAGATCCTTCAGAAAGTTCAGACAGAACAACCATTATAAATGATAGAATAACCCTTCCCACGATTTTATGAGTTAAATCTAGCTTCTCCTTATACTCTACAAATAAAAAATTTAAGTGTTCAAATAACAATACAAATGCATCTCCAAACTTTTACATGCGAATTTAATATGCTTCATAAATAACCAACATATCTACAACTATGCATTGAATTAGAATAAACAATAGCATTGAGCTGGGAATTGTTTAAAAATTGGTTACTCAATTAAACAAATTAAACTGTTTTTGCAGTTAATTTAGGTGCAAGAAAATATCAAACCAATCTATTCAAATTAACCTACAAAACCTTTATGATTTTATTAGCACACTACATACATCCCTAAAATAGTCTAAATAGGTTCCATCTAACGTTCAGTTTAAGTAATCCTCAAAAAAGATCAACACCGAATTCATTCTAGAAACAAACACAAGATTTAGTATTACATCATATGAATGGAATTGCAATAGAGATAAGTGTTAGTGATTAGGGTTTAGCCATTAGGCTTTAGGTATTTTCTATATATTATTATGTAATTGTCTTTTGAGAATGGATCAATCCATTATCTAACATGGTATCAGAGCTCTAGGTTAATCCTGCTGCTACAACCCACAGTCACCGCCTTCCACCTCCGGCAACCTTCTCTAATAGTCGTCGGAGGTGCCTTCATTATGTTTCATATTTTTCCTTTTCTTCTCTTTTCCGCCTAAATAATAAAACAACAACTGACACCAAACCAGAGCTTTTTCATCGGTTTCTTCCACTGTCTCGTCTACTTCTACCTCCTTCTCTCATGACGCCTGCCTCTGAGCCTTCTGCCTCCTACTCGGCTGGCCACTTCTTCAGATCTCTTTTCTTATTCAACCCCTTCTGATGTTGTTGCTGCCTTCCTCCGATGACATCTTCTCCGCCGGGCAGCCTCTAGTCTGTAGTCATTTTTTTCTCTATTAACATTGTAGTTTCCGATCTCGCCGGAATTGGCACCGTCCGCCTCAACTCGAGCCCTCTTTCTTTCTCGCTGCCTTTCTCCAGACTCCTCTGCCGCTGGTTGCATGATCATCGCAGCTGTCTACAGTCTTCTCTTTTTCTTCAATGGAATCACCTATGGTTGCCGCTTCTTCTCTCTTGTTCTCTGACGAGCAGTCGATGTTAGCCGCCATTGTTAGAGCTCTACCACCGCCGATGCCGCTATCTTCATCTAGTTATTATGTTTTCTTTTTTGTTTATTTTTCCAGTTTAATCGTCTCCACCCGATCAAACTGCATGGGGAATGTTAGTGATTAGGTTTTAGGCCCAAGCCCTTTAGGGTTTAGCTATTAGACTTTAGGTATTTTCTATATATTCTTATGTAAAGGGATCAATCCATTATCTAACAATAAGCAATTCCAAACTTTCACTAGATATGAACGAACAAAGATTAAAAATATCCAAACACAAAAGAGAACAAATTTCGTGACATGGTTGTTTATAGATCCCCCAAATTTTATGCACCTACATTAACCGCAAAAACATTATCTATCACTAGATCAAGTATCAGCATACAGACGGGCAAATAGAGAACAAATTTCTTGACATAGTTGTTCTGTATGATAAGTTTTTGAAACTAACAAATCACCCTGTTTCTAAGCTCTCGTTAATTTCAAACTCTATGCAAGATGAAACTTCAGTCGTAAATGCACCTTATACACAAGCAAATACTAGATATCATGGTCAATCTTGAGTTGTATTTTCTGCCCCTAGCTAGGGAATGACCTTTAATTAAGCTTTGCTGACCAAGACTGTAGGTTTTAAATCTACAGAAAAATCCGACATAATTTTGTAGCTTAAAACAAAAACATAATCCAAGTTATTTGCAAATAAATTGAGCGTTAAATAAGTAAATTTAGTGATCGAAACTCTGCACTAGCATAAACAGTAATTTTGTTTTAAGGAATATAACAACCGAAAGTATTTCACAAGAACCGAGTCTGGCTTCAACAGACCAGTAACTTTTGCAAAATGGGAACATCACCAGGAAATTTAGAATTATTACAATCAAATGTTAAAGCTTATTCACTATGAGGGTTCAGCTTACTGTTCAGAAGCAGATAGCATCATTCAAAAAGAAACATATACAACAAACTCTGTTATTGAAATGTAAAGACGAACATAAGAAACTGAAACAGTCGAAATTTCAATCACCTGATGGTGAGAACAAACAAATGATTATGAATTTATGATTAAAAGATCAAAGGGTCTAACATGCTAACCTAACTTGCAAGAATGTGGATTAATTAACAGCTATCTGCAGAACGACGACGATAGCTGAGGCGGCGAGAATAGAATATGAATCAACGACGAAGACCAGAGCAAACTGTGAGTCGACGAGAAAGCGAGAGAGGAGGACGATTTATATTGAGTAAATTATAGTTTTGGTCCCTGTGGTTGTGTCCGATCTGCACTTTTAGTTCGAGTTTTGATTTTTTGACATGAATGATCCCTGTGGCTTCAAATAATTGACTGGTGATCCCTGAAGCTAGCTCCGTCTGATCAGTTTCATGGTTATAGACCCTCATGTGCTCCTCACATGAGGGTAAATTTGTCTTTTCACGTTCTCTTTATCTTTTAACGTCTTTTTCGCCATTATGTACCTAATTACGCCTATGGGCAATGTTTAAAAAACCTGTTTGAACCGGCCGATCAAACCGGTTGGACCGAGAATCTGGGGTGGGAGCGGTTCAACTAACACCGGTTTTACATTGATTTCTGAACCGGATTGAACCGGCCGGTTTTTAGAAAAAACTGGTTGAGCCGGTCAAAATAAACCGGTTGAACCGGTTAAACCATATAAAACATATGAAAAAAACCATTTACATAATAAACTTTGGTGATTTTTTTTCATATATATTTAGTTTTCTCTAAATAAAAACATATGGTAATGTTATAAAGTTTTTTGATGTGTTTGTATTCATCTAAAATTATATATCGTTACGGTATTATACTTTATTTTCTTTTTGACGTATATGAATTGATGTAAAACACTAGAACTTATGGTTATATGTTATTTTAATGTATTTGGATTCATCTAAAACTTATTTTTATGTGTATTTTTATTGTTTGAATTTGTAAACATCAAATTCATGATTTATATATGTATGTATGTGTAGGAAAATACGAAAAAACATGAAAAATATAGAAACCGGTTAATCCGACGGTCGAACCGGTTGAACCTGAAAACCGGTCATCATACCGGTTCAACTAAAATACCGGTTTTTAAAACATTGCCTATGGGTTACACCACTACTCCTTAATCTATAAATATATTCTTCCGAAGAAAAAAAACCCTATTCATATTCTAATATTTTTTCATCCCCTTTCGGTCTGAACTTCAAAACGTAAGATCTTATAAACACTAAAAAACAACCTATGTCAAACACGAAGCTATGTATTATCGCTTTGGAATGCATGATGTACACTTAGATTTAGGTCTTTTACCACTTGGAAATGACCAAGATGAGATTAATCGGTCTACATATGGTGTCGAGTCTAACTAGATCATGGTTTACATTGAGCATAATAAAAGACATATGCATATGTACTTTATATATGTCCCCCCATTGAAGTGCCTATTGAGGAGATATATGGTGATCCATCGTATGGTCATAGTAGAAATAAGAAAAAGAGGAAACAAATAGGGTCTTGCAGCAAGAAACTTGATTTTGACTGGAATAAACTTGTTGACTTTTCCCATGTGATTAATGTAGGTGATCCTGTTAAAACTTGACATGCTATATTCCCTTATAAAAACTGTAGAGTGTTTAAAGGAACACAAGAGAAGTTTGATTCCAAAGTATGTGATGATGAGTGCATTATAAATGATCATAAAACAATGGGTAATGGTGAAGGTTTGCAACCCAATGATCATGGTGAAGCAATGATTGATGGTGGATATGTGACAATGGGTGATGGTAAAGATATACTAATGCAATCAAAAAAATGTCCCATTGTTTTATCAACAAACACTTGATTATTTTAACCCTTTCTTTGATATTGGAACACACAACTTACCATACAAAGGAAACATCAAGGAAGACTATACCATGAACTTGAAAGTGGAATATGAAACTCACATGGAAGATAATTTAGTTGAAAGCTTAAATGAGTTAAATATAGTAACAAATGTTCAAACAAAGCTCAAAAAAAAATGAAACTGGTGGAAGTAGTAGTGATAGTGAATTTAATGTGGATAAACTAGACATGGTAGATGATGTGGAGGTTCATATGGTTGAGTTCCATATTGTAAAAAGCCCGTGAAACATAGAACATGATTTTTTATTTATTAGCATCTTGATGGGATTTTTCCAACATGTTCTTTAATCTTTATAGCATCCCTGTAATAACAACACAAGACCTAAGGCACATTCGGACATCAAACCACCCAATAAAACTACACTTTGGTATGACCCAAGAACAACATCAAAATCTGCGACCTTGGTTGAGATTGGTCAAGGGAATGATGATTATTGATTGTGAACCATAACCACAAAATGATCATATTCTTGACCTTTGTATGGGTGTGTCTTTAAATTGTGGAAGAATGGAGTAGAAGAAACAATGGAGGAAGTGGGTGTGAGGAAGAAGAAGCGGATGCGTGAATTAACAAAAAAACGAACGTTTGGAGAGAAAGAAAACGAGAAAAAGACAAAAATACCCTCATATGAGGGTCAAATAAGGGTATTTAACGATGAAACTCAGACAGAGTTAAACTCAGTGATCACTGATGCAATAGTTGAAACCACAGGACCATCCATGTTAAAAAAAATTAAAACTTGAACTAAACATGCATATTGGGCCAAACCGTAGAGACCAAAACTGTAATTTACTTATTTATATTGATTTCCACACGGAATGACTTATTCAAAGTATGACTTATTCATGAATTTAATAGAATATATTTGAATACAATTATTTATCCATAAATTATTCAATTAAAAGTTATTTTATAGGTAATTTCGTAGGAATTAAAGGTTAAAAAGGAAATGTAATTTAATTCTTGAAACGTGTATAGTACCCGTTGATGAGCTTCCATACAGATACGTAGTTAATACTCGTTATAGTTGACAAAACTATTAATTATAACGATATTATAGATTTTTTTTTTTTTGAACAGCTAAAGATATTATAGAATATTAAAGTCACTAAATACGATCATAATATTTTATTTA